GATGACAGACAACAACCAATGACAAATACTGAAATACAGACTCTTGACATGGGTCAGGATGACAGACAGCAACCAATGACAAATACTGAAATACAGACTCCTGACATGGAACAGGGTGACAGACAACAACCAATGACAAATACTGAAATACAGACTCCTGACATGGGACAGGATGACAGACAACAACCAATGACAAATACTGAAATACAGACTCCTGACATGGGACAGGATGACAGACAACAACCATTGACAAATACTGAAATACAGACTCCTGACATGGGACAGGATGACAGACAACAACCAATGACAAATACTGAAATACAGACTCCTGACATGGAACAGGGTGACAGACAACAACCAATGACAAATACTGAAATACACTCCTGACATGGTACAGGATGACAGACAACAACCAATGACAAATACTGAAATACAGACTCCTGACATTGGTCAGGATGACAGACAGCAACCAATGACAAATACTGAAATACAGACTCCTGACATGGCACAGAATGACAGACAGCAACCAATGACATATACTGAAATACAGACTCCTGACATGGGACTGGATGAAAAAAACAACCACTGACAAATACAAAAATACATTCCTGACATGGTACAGGATGACAGACATCAACCAACGACAAATACTGAAATACAGACTCCTTACATGGTACAGGATGACAGACAACAACCAATGACAAATACTGAAATACAGACTCCTGACATGGTACAGGATGACAGACAACAACCAATGACAAATACGAAATACAGACTCCTGACATGGGTCAGGATGACAGACAACAACCGACGACAAATACTGAAATACAGACTCCTTACATGGTACAGGATTACAGACAACAAATGACAAGTACTGAAATACATGCTCCTGACATGGTACAGGATGACAGACAACAACCAATGACAAATACTGAAATACAGACTATTGACATGGGTCAGGATGACAGACAGCAACCAATGACAAATACTGAAATACAGACTCCTGACATGGAACAGGGTGACAGACAATAACCAATGTCAAATACTGAAATACAGACTCCTGACATGGGACAGGATGACAAACAACAACTAATGACAAATACTGAAATACAGACTCCTGACATGGAACAGGGTGATAGACAACAGCCAATGACAAATACTGAAATACAGACTCCTGACATGGTACAGGATGACAGACAACAACCAATGACAATTACTGAAATACACTCCTGACATGGTACAGGATGACAGACATCAACCAACGACAAATACTGAAATACAGACTCCTGACATGGGACAAGGTGACAGACAACAACCAATGACAAATACTGAAATACAGACTCCTGACATGGGACAGGATGACAGACAACAACCAATGACAAATACTGAAATACAGACTCCTGACATGGGACAGGATGACAGACAACAACCAATGACAAATACTGAAATACAGACTCCTGACATGGGACAGGATGACAGACAATAACCAATGACAAATACTGAAATACAGACTCCTGACATGGAACAGGATGACAGACAACAACCAATGACAAATACTGAAATACAGACTCCTGACATGGGTCAGGATGACAGACAGCAAACAATGACAAATACTGAAATACAGACTCTTGACATGGCACAGAATGACAGACAGCAACCAATGACATATACTGAAATACAGACTCCTGACATGGGACAGGATGACAGACAACAACCAATGACAAATACTGAAATACAGACTCCTGACATGGAACAGGGTGACAGACAACAACCAATGACAAATACTGAAATACACTGCTGACATTGTACAGGATGACAGACATCAACCAACGACAAATACTGAAATACAGACTCCTTACATGGTACAGGATGACAGACAACAACCAATGACAAATACTGAAATACAGACTCCTGACATGGGTCAGGATGACAGACAGCAACCAATGACAAATACTGAAATACAGACTCCTGACATGGCACAGGATGACAGACAGCAACCAATGACATATACTGAAATACAGACTCCTGACATGGGACAGGCACAAATCATTTTTCTTCCTTTTAATCAAACTCTCATTATGTTATAGTTGTTATGGTTAGACAAATAACATATACCGATGGTTTATAAATTAAATAAGGTCTTCGTGAAAGACAAGTGATTTTAACTAATTTGCAATTGTGTGATGTAGTGACTGGATATGCCTCATGGATTTTGTTACAGAAAGAATACGGCAGATGTCACTAGATAGCAGTAATTGCTGATTATTCAGGGATTAATCCTGGTTTTTCGGTTAAGTTAATGTTGCTTTATCTTTAGTTTTCTGAGAAGTGTTTTGTAGACTGTTTTTTTGTCCATTTGTTGATTTATTTTTGGTCATGGTTTTCTGCTTTACTCCAACCTATGATGTTCATTGAAAGCATTTTTCAATGATACATCACCTCATTTCATTAAATTAGACAGAAAGAGAAAAAAAACCAAGTTTCATAGTATAAAATGACAAGTTCAATTAAGTCTTGTTGGGCAACGAGGGATGGGATTTGGTGGATGATTTCAATAGTTTCAAGTGCTCTTTATTGATTACGCAGACATGTTAACTTTACAGACCTATAAGGTAGTCATTTCATCGAGTAATGTTTGAGTCAACGCTTGTGGTTCCTTATAAAGATGAAAATGATATTTCATGAGACTTTTATTTCATAAAAATCAACAAAACATACCTTCGTTTTCCAATTTATGACCGGGATTATCTCTCATGATGTATGGATGTATATCCTGTCTCAGTTGGTTTATATAGTTTTCAATTTAAATTAATGTATTTAAGAATAAGAAGATTTGCATGGTATTATTGACAAAGAGATTACTCTCTACCAGAGACCATATGACGTCACAGAAAAGATATGGCAACTGTAGGTCAAAGTAAGGCTTCAACCATGATTTTTGACTGGGAGATCAGACGTATACAGCCCTATTCCTTGTGAACTCCATAAAAGATTTAAGTAGAGGTTTATGCTTGATAGATAGCATGAAATTCTATCACGAAATGATTAGAATTTGACCTATAGTGGAAGGGAATACTGAGCCCACGCTGATTTCGAAATTGCTACTTTTCACTTTTATGAGGACCTGAGGGAATATCGGTTATAAAAACTAACTGTGTTAACCCTCTTTAGATGAAGATTTGTTGTGTCGTTTTAGAGATATGCCCTTCCTAAATGTGGGATATTAGGTTTGCATAAAACAACTTTTTGTATGTTTGCTACAATTATTTGATATTTCAACAAAACATTATAAGTAAAATTAAACAGTGGCAGGAATCTTATACATCTGACATGTCTAACCAGAGTCGTTTAATTGTGTATAAAACCATAATTGAGTTTTTCTCTTCTGATAATTTTATTCTAGAATTTCTAGAAGTTTAGATTTGACAAACTTTGTTCTAGTATTGTACCCTTGAATACGATGAAAATTGACAAAGATGAGGCGTCTGTTTGTAGTATCTTCAATGAAATTAGGAAACTTTTAAACACTTGTTACTGCATTGAATAAATGTCATTATGACTGTTTAACGTTCAGTAGAAATTATTACATGTATATTCAGGACGATCATATGAATATATAAAACGACGCAGAATTGTCTGAAGTGTATTTGTTTATTTGTTCATAATTTTGTCTTCAGTTGTTTTTGTATTCTCCTGATGTGACAATGCATAATATTTTTTACAAATTTTTTGTTGAAATTTATTGCAAATTTCCGTGACAAAAATAATAATGAATTTGTTTGCATCATCAGAAAATGAAAAAAAGCTTCACAACAAAAAAATAACCGCAAATAAACCTGTGACAATTCTGCTTCTAATACATATAGTACCAAGTTGATAAAAAAAAATCCAACTAAAAAATTACCTCTTAATATTTTTTATTAACCCGTCGTTTTATATGAAATATATAGCAAAAAATCGCAGGTTACGAATACTTATTGGATAATCCGACAAATCAATACCCTTTGCTGGATTTTCCGTAAGTGTAATTGCTCAGAAGGTATAACAATCTGCAGGAAAAAAATATCTTTCTATACTCGGACACATATACTTTGGTCCAATATCTATGGTCCGTTCATATACCGACCAGTCCTTCTTACTCGTTTGCTATTTGCCCTGGCAGTGAAGCGAACCCACGACTCATGCGCTGGGGGCGAGAGCGCTACGCGAGAGACAATCGATACAGTTCATAGTTGTTTTGTTTCACCGTTTCATGGGTGTAGTCCAGTATTTGACGTTTCCATATTATATATTTTTTTCCTTTTTTGTTGTTGTTTTAAATAAGTTCGTTATTTGTTTCTTGTTTATTTTTGCATAGTTTAAATTCCTGTGTGTGTTTACGCTTTAACTACCAGTACGGCTGTTTGTTCATTGCATGTTTTTTCCCGATTTTTTTCATTTACACAATTTAGTCAGCTGTTTTTATTTAACTTAAAAGCAATGTTTGATTGTCAAAAATACCAATTTGAGTAAAAATTAAAAGTTGGCAGAAAATTTCAACAATAAGTTACAAAAATTATCAATTTTGAGTTTCATTTATCTCAAAAACAGTTCCGGTAAGTTATTTTTTATGACACGATTTCATCTCGATATTCAACATATATCTCAAATTCACAAAAATGACATGCAATCTGATTTTTATCGAATCAACGGCGTCTTTTAAGGGCTTGTTTTTGCTCATTGTTGAAGGCTGTACAGTACCCTATAGTTGTTAACTTCTATGTCATTAATTCTTTGATGGAGCGTTGTCTCATTGGCAATTATACCAAATCTTCTTATTTTTATATTGTGTTGTCAGGTTGCTGTCTCATTGATAGCTTCACAAATCTGTGTTATTCATATCTGTTGCAGTCGTTCGTTATTATGATTTTAGGCGGTGGGGTTAACTTTACAGACACATTTACAGACAAAGTCAATACTATTTAACTATATGCACTTAAAAATGACGTCAACACTAAAAATATAAAAGAAATGTAATTTCTAAGCTTTTCTAAGTCTTTGGCGTAACAGTTACTTCTTCCCAAACATACCGCCTGCAAAAGAAAAGAAAAATGGAACGTTACTGGTGTTAGAGATATGTATAGTATGATAAATAGAAAAAAAAATATCGCAGCACTTATGGTGTCCTGCGAAAATAAAATAATTTTAACAAATTATTTTGCTCTTTCAGCGTGGTCACGAATGTAGTATTTATCGTTTTTTTTGTTTGTTTTTTTTTTTGCATTTTGTTGAAAACATTGTGAGTTTAATTTGATGTATAAATTATTAAAATGTTCACTGTCATTACTTGATTGAAGTATATGTCCTTGATTGAAGCCTAAAGGGAACATTTCAATTGGAAGCGTATTTCCAAATTTGACACGATTTTAAGACGATTTGTGGCAAAATATACTCTGGTAGATGTGATTCTAAAATATTCCAAAATTTTATGGAATACATTTAATAATTTGAACTTTTTTTTTTATCATATAGTAGAATTAGAAAGTCTTGTGTATCTATACTTTACACTTCAATACCTCATTAATAGCTTAAAAATGTTGATGTCTCATGTACAGAAACGTATTCTTCTTTTAATAAGAATTATAATAAAAGGCTGAGATGTGCATTAAAAAGGGGGGGGGGGGGGTCATCTCAAATTCAACTGGAACTTATATCAACTATTGTTTGAATAATGAAAAGTCTAAATAACCATGTATATATATATATATATATGTGTATACATGTATATATATATATATAAATCTCCGAAACAGTGAACATTAAATCTGTTTTATATACTTATCTGACATTAAATAGGATTTTGACATTATACCGAAAACATATATTGGTATTTTTTACTTGCTTATTAATGTCATACGTGTATTTTCGTGACTACAAGCAACAGCTTTATATTTCAATCTGATTAACAGTTTTAATAATACTTTATTTGAAGACTTACAATCTGATGAACGTGAAACAGAAATATAGATATAATTTTACCAAATCTGGTGTCCTCATTAGCAGATGTAAGTCAAAGAGAACTGGTTAATGTTAGGTTGTGTGAGTAAAACATAAAGCTTGTTATTTATTGAAACATAATTATAAAAAAGAAGATGTGGTATGATTGCCAATGAGACAACTCTCCACAAGAGACCAAATGACACAGAAATTAACAACTATAGGTCACCGTACGGCCTTCAACAATGAGCAAAGCCCATACCGCACACTCAGCTATAAAAGGCCCCGAAATGACAATGTAAAACAATTCAAACGAGAAAACTAACGGCCTAATTTATGTACAAAAAAGGAACGAAAAACAAATATGTAACACATAAACAAACGACAACCACTGAATTACAGGCTCCTAACTTGGGACAGGCACATACATCATCAGTACAGAATGTGGAGGGGTTAAACATGTTAGCTTGTTATTTATTGAAGGTGGAAGTCAAAATAATGATAACTTGTACAAAAGTCTTTATCGACTTGTACGCAACACATATAACACTAACAGACAATAGGACAATGATTATGGCATTAATTAGTTCTTTTATAAAATCATTGTCCGGTTTGTATTTTGTTTTTGTTTAATCTGTTATGTTCTTTAATACAACATTGTGTTTTATATTGAACTTAGGATTTCAAAATATAAATAACTGAAATTTCTTTAACATCTTTACGTTTTGCCTTGGGAAATATTCGAGGGAAGGACTCATTTGAATCCCCTGGTTGACGGAAGTAGCAAAATAAACAGGTAAGGGGAGTTCAAATAGAAGTTTTGCCTAAACTTTACAAAAACCTAACACTACATGAAGCCCTAACCATTCTTTCCGTTACCATACCATAACCGTGAACTAAACGCTTATCCTTAATTAAAGGGACTCATAAAGTTAAAAATAATAACATTCCCTGTACAAACGATGTAATCTGCGTTATAACATTTTTTTCAATTTTGTCCTGATTTCTTGTAAATCAACCATGACAATTTCTCGGGGCAAAACATGTATATATAGTCGAAATGCACTAAAACTCACAACTGAAATGCACGTTCATTATAAACACCTGCATGGAATGATTACATCATTTCAACTTTTAGTTTTTTTGGGTTATAGGAAGACAAAGATATTTAATTATTTGTTTTCCTAGAAAGGAAAAATTACAAGCTTTGATGCAGGATTAAAAGTTATAAAAAAACCACTACTGTTCGAAATAAAATATCATAATTTAACAAAATTTTAAGAACACGCGACAAAGTTTATAGTTTATTTCTTTTGCAAAGTAGAAACTAATTAAGAAATTTAGATCTTTAAATTTCAAATATGAAAAATAAACACTTTATACATTTGGTATGTCCGAAGCTTTTCTGGGTTTATTTTCACCAGGAACGCTCACACCAAAATATTTGAAACTCATTGAGGCATAAATGCTTGAAAACTTGAGGAGCTGAATGACCAAATTCTAAAAATTGCCTAGAAATAAGTTTTCGAAATGCGAATATGAAGAATCAAATTCATTTTGGTATCTTCCTAAGTTTGTTCATATGCATGGATATGTTGTTAAATTTGGGTTTGAATAACATATCATGTCTATATAATATATATTTGATCCCGTGAGTTATGAGCATAATGAAATCAGAGATCAATATTTTAATTTAGATTTCCTTTAACCAAATTAAAATAATTAGTATCTGAAAGACAAAATATGACTTTTCATGCAGCGAATACGATTTTTTGTTTTTGGTAGAATTAAGGGTAATTCCCCTTTCCTTTTTATATAATTACTAAGAAATCGCCAAAATCTACCAGTATTGAAGTTTTAAGCGACCTATAGACATTGATAACATGGTTACATGTTGAGAGATGTGCCATAATGTTATTAGAACATCAAAATCATATATTCATCATGAAAGCTGTCTTACTGTGAATTTTAGAAAATGTTGGACTTTTTGATAAAAATTCAGGGGAAATTGGTCCAACCCCTTTGATTTTTTTTAGCTTAGAATTCAAAAGCTTTTTGATTTTGTTGTTGATCATGTTCAAGAGGTATAGTCCCACTAGAGGCATATTAAAAAGGTCGTTCAATCAATCATAAAACTGACAGTATCTTTGTTTCGTTTACTCGGATGTTGTTATTTTATGTCGTATTTCTTCACGTGAAACCGTATAATAAATGCATAAAGATGGCTCAAAAACTACAATTTGAAATATTTTAGCAAAGAACTATTTATCCAAAAATGAATAAAAGTTTTTTTTTATCCAAAATGTTATCGGAAGTAAATCTATCGATTGGCTTTCAGATACGAAATTAATTTATTTTGGTAATGGATGTCCTTCAATAGATATAAGAAGATGTGGTATGAGTGCCAATGAGACAACTCTTCATCCAAGTCACAATTTGTAAAAGTAAACCATTATAGGTCAAAGTACGGCCTTCAACACGGAGCCTTGGCTCACACCGAACAGCAAGCTATAAAGGGCCCCAAAAATGACTAGTGTAAAACCATTCAAACATGAAAACCAACGGTCTAATCTATATAAAAAACGAGAAACGAGAAACACTTATGAACCATGCACATCAACAAACGACAACCACTGAACATCATGTTTCTGACTTAGGACAGGTGCAAACAAATGCAGCGGTTTAAACGTTTTGATAGGCGCCAACCTTCACCCTACGTGAAACAATAGTGTAACATCACAACATAGAAAGACACACTATAAAATATCAATTGAAATGGCTTAACTCAATCAAAAGACCTATTAACAAAAACAACTGAACATACACTGAACGAATAAATTCAATGCAACATGTTACAAAAAGTGTATTTTTTTTGCAGTTTTGCATCAATATTGCCTTCAACAGCAAAGTACAGAAATGAATAACATTTCGTTTTAATGGGGAAAATATGCAAAAGTCTTAAACTTTCAAGAATATTTTTAGATTATTTACTATACAAATTTCAATCAACTTTTAATTAGATCCCGTGCCTTGAAAAATGCAAGGGAAGTTTGTCATATTTCACTTGGCGTAATGAAGTCAAACGACGTTAGAAATTATTCCAGGTAAAAAAAATGGACCAGGAACCCCATTCTCGATTTTTAAAACTCTTCTATGCTATTAATCATTGGTTGGATAAGGATTTTATCGAATTCAAATTTACACTTTCACCAATACAAGATGCGCATGCGAAGCAACCTTGACATACCTCCATCCAAAAATATTGGACCACCACCGAAGCCAGACCCACCAAATCCGTCACCAAAGCCAGACCCACCAAATCCAGGTAAGCCGCCCATTCCACCAAATGATGGAGCCTCAGCAAATAAAGTCGATCCACCAAAAGGACTACTAAATTGGTCAAAAGATGCTCCCATGTTTCTTCCAAATGGACTAAATGGCGATGCAAACCCATCTCCTCCGCCAAAGCCTGAAAACCCACCAACTGTCTGAAATGGTGATCCCGCAAACAAGGGACCTCCCATCATTGGTCCTCTGGCAAATCCACCCATCGCACCAAATTGTCCGCTTTGTTGTCCAAAAAGCTGATTGTTGTTATTGCTTTGTTGCGAAGTTTGTACATTATTATCATTAAAAAAATCTGCCCCATCTCCTAGTCCAAAGGTATTTTGGTTATTGTTTCCAAATCCATTTCTTCGGTTACCAAATCCTTGACCCTGATCATTGAACTGGTTTCCTTGATTCGTAAATCCTTGTCCCTGATTTGTAAATCCTTGCCCCTGATTTGAAAAATCTTGTCCCTGGTTTGTAAATCCTTGTCCCTGATTTTGAAATCCTTGTCCTTGATTTGTAAACCCCTGTCCTTGATTTGTAAAACCTTGTCCCTGGTTTGTGAAGCCTTGGTTTGTAAACCCTTGTCCCTGGTTTGTGAAACCTCCTGCACCAGGTGGCCCCTGTCCTGCCTGATTTGAAAACGGATCAAACGACTGAAATCCACCACCAGCATTAGGTGCTGTGCCTGCGGAAGATGGAGCTGGTCCTGTTGGCTGAAGTCTAGCAACACTAAGGAATCGTTGATCAGGGGTAAGGGATCCTCCAGAGCCAACGGTTATTGCCGGATTTGAAGTTAAGGAAGTCGCTGTTCCAAGGGAATTGGTACCTGCATTAGCAAATGTATTCTGATTCATCCCAAACGAATTCTGGGTCATACCCATGGCATTTTGATTTGCTCCCATTGTATTTTGACCTGTGGGAAAAGTTTGTGTCATTCCAAATGTCGGGCCTGTATTTGTTCCCATATTCATTCCTGTGCTTCCAAAATTTCCCAAGTTACCGGCATTTTGACATTTTACCAAAGAAACATAAACCAAGATTAAAACTGTTTTTATCCATATCTTCATCTTTATCTGAAAAGTAAAGATTATACAAGAAAACCAAGTAAAAGGAATACTTTGATTTTTAAACATTTACATCAGATGCAAATAAGTTTATTTATTTAATCAGAAGTATTCACTTTCTGAACGAATAAGTGCCAAAAGTATATCAACATTGTACTTGGTATTTTCCAATTTTTTTAGATGAATTTTATGCTTCATACGTTGCATTTAAAGGTAACATAGAAAAGGTATCAAAAGATTCATTAAAACATTTACCTTATAGTTGAATGGTGTTTCGTCTGTGAAGATTTTTGATGTTCTAATCACCCATGTATGTCATTATATGATTGATTACTTCTTATGAGTATAGGAAGTAGTGAGATCATTCGTCACGACGTGATACATTGATTCCTTAGATTTCAATTATAATGCACCCGGAACACAATTCATTACCCTTTGTATGTCTTTTACCGTATACGTTTGTATATAAACATTATATTTGAGTACACACTAAAATATCCCTTTTAATGTGTCGAATAATCACATATCTTGTTCAGTCACTATCATCGTTGTAATATTACATTTAATTAACACAACCACTACCAGCTCGATTGACCGAAATTAACCTTTGATCAATTTGTCTGCAAAATGACCCCTCACTCCTCCTTTAGTACTACTGATAAGTCACTGACATGTATACGGTGTAGAATAGTATCTACGGAAAAGTAGGGCAACGATTTTCTTACTATAAATATGAAGTAGGACTGAAGAAGAAGATTTTATTCCAATTAAGGGCCTCGAAAGAGAGGGTGCTGGCAGATTTTGGAAATAAAATATTCTGGACCCCATTAAGTTGGAAATAAATAATTTTGCCTTATAACACACGAAAAGAATATTTTGCGGCTTTAAATTATTCAAACTAAATAGATTTGCTTTTCAAGATGCATCTATTTTTCGCAAACTTCTATTTTACAATATTTTACCTCACGCGGGTCGAAGTGGAAATAATTAATCTTGCCGCCTTTTAGTTGGAAATAAATATTCTGACCTCATCAAATTTGACCCCCCCCCCCCCCCTCGGCGACATTTATTTTGTTGTGCAGATATATCACATTGTCATTGTTGAATGTTAGTTAGCATCTGATTTTGTATATATCTGTAAGTGTTTTCTTTTGTGTGCTCGGTAACAATTAGGCCTAACAATTAATCCTGGAACAATTATAATATATATCATTTTAATAAAACTGCACGCCATACATAAATAGCCTGGTACCGTAGATTGGTCCATATTCTGTGTTAGTGACTCAGTTGAGGTTACCAGGATTATTGGTTTTATTCGGATTATTTCGGGAGGTTTCCTTTACTAATTCGGACTGTAGTTGCATCATCAACATGCATGCCCACGTTGCAATTATTTTTTGGTAGCCAAATGTTTTTTTGAAAAAAGTTCGATCGCGTTATAGAAAAAGATGACCAAAGCAGAATATAACCTTTCAGAAAACGAAATTGACCCAAAATCAGGTAAGTCCCGTAAGACATTGTGTTAAATATCAACAAAGGATAATAATATAGTAAAACTATAGTCTATACAATTCCTTGAATCAACAGAATTTAAAGTTCTTTATAACAAATGGACATTAAATAAAATGGACCGAAAATTGCTCTTAGTACAGAAAAACATGTGCAGTTTGAAAAGTTTTAAGGCCGATTATCCACTAGATATATATATAAGAAATACATGACAAGTCGGATCACAGACAACTCGGACCAATTTTTAGACAACTCGGACCAGTTTTGAAGAGAACTCAGACAATTTTTAAAGACATTTTGGACCACTTTTAAGACAACTCGCACCAGTTGTAAAGGCAATTCTGACCACTTCTGAAAGCAACATAGACAAGTTTGAAAGACCATGAAGACTGCTCGGACCATTTTAATTTTTTTTTTAATTCTATTTTAAGTTATTTATTGTTGTATTTATAAACGTATCTGTTCATGTGCCTGTCATATATTTTATAAAAACAATATTGTTAGTGATTTGAAATAGTGCAAGTTCTAATACAAGAAATACAAATATTATTACTGTCTTTTCATATGCCATATATATATATTTAAAAACAGAAGTTCTGAAACAGTACTCATCAGATTCAAACAATGATCAGAAGAAAAAAACTTAAACAATTGACAATAAAAAATATACATCATTTAAAACGTTAAAGCTCTGAGAGGAAAGTTTACTCCAATACCTTGTTAACTTTGTTGAATCTGTTTTTGATCTCACAAATGAATTTCTCCTGATAAGAATTATCTTTAAATGGGCCTGAGACATATTTCTAACTGGTCCGAATTGTCTTTTACATGTAACTAGATAAGAAGCGTCCCTTACATTGGCCCATTCAGTTTTCCAATTGGTCTGAGTTGTCTTAAAAGTGGTCTGAGTTGTCTTTTAAACTAGTCCGAGTTGTCTTCAAATTGGTCCAAGTTGTCTTGGTCTGACTTGTCTTTGGTCAGAGTTGTCCTGATTCCATATAAAATCTGAATGCATTAAAACATGTTTTAGAAAGTTAAATTTTTTTGTGATAATTTTTTTCGTTGCTACATAAGGTGTAAAAACAAACTAAGTTTGGTTAAATCTTAGATGCCTCCTCTCAGGTAACAATGGTATTGATTGACATGGACAATAGAAGAACAATAGATATCTACACAACAATAGGTGATTTAAATTGTGTAACTGAGTGAGTGAACTGTATCATCTGCAGTGATAGATGCAAGTCTGTGGCTCTTAGGTCCTTATGATATTTTTTGACATTTTGCAGACCATGGCTCATAGCTCCTAGTCCTTATGATTTATTTTGACAATTTGCAGACCATACGGTTCCACAGCTACTGCAGTGATAGAAATTGTTTTTAAAAATCTTTCTGAAGCACAAAAAGCATTTAACTTTAAAAGGCAAGGCACTGGCTACGATTATGTTGAAAACGTAACAAAATATATAATCCCTACCTACTTACCCAACCCTACAAGGCATGGGTAGGCAACATTAAACAAAGAATTTTTTTAAGGGTGGCCTTGTGAATTAAGTAGGCAAATTAGATGTAATAACCAAACAGGCCTAAATGTGTGTTTGTGAATTTATGGAAAACATATTTGGTGGAAGTTGTTATTTGTGTCTAAAATAAAGACAGTGAGTTAAAATAGAACTAAAAAAAGAATAACCTAAGGCAAGGGTTTTTTCAATTTGTTGGTTTACGGATCAGCTGACCCTATTTTTCACATTTTCAGAAAAAGATTAAAATTGACATTTCATGCTTTTTTTTCCCTGCCGACCCTAACAAATAGATTATCTCTGAAATATAAATATAAATATCTGTGTAGCAGCAACTTTGCCTGAAATTAAATGCATTATTTTAGCATGTTAAAACATTAGCAGAAATGATTTTAAAAGAATAAAAATCTAAAAATAATCCGTAGCGTAGCGTTTATGTTCCTAAATGTAGAATTTTCTTGTTTCATAGATTGGGAAAAAAAATGTTCGTCCATTTGGATATCTAAAGCGGGATTGGCTGACAAAGGATGAAACCGATATCATCGTTTTCCATAGGATTGGTCTACTTTGTTTATGACACAGATGATAAAGTGTTATTTTCGTGCGATTGTGTTTGCAATTTCTGTTTCACTTGTTTTCGTGTTCAAAGCTCATTATTCACTACGGTTTCTTAAATTGATAAGCAACAAGTAGCTGTTTTTTTTCTTTCGTGATATGACCATTTATTTCCTGTTTGTCAATGATACCCACCTTTTTAAAATTTATATGACAAAAAATGTATGATGATGGCATCTTTGTACATTTAAAACAGCTGAGCAATAATGTTTGGAACTAAAAATTAAGAAAAAGCAGACCAAATCTATTGTTAGTAAGCTGAAATATATTTTTAATCTATACATATTTCTGTCTTGTAAGATATTTTTTTCTTTTTTTTCCCAACCAACCGACTTTCACACATAAAAAATCTCTATACTAACAAATTTAAAAACCCTGACCTAAGGATGTATGTGGTATTTTAACTTCTTTGTGCTAGCCTACCATACTTGCAAGATTTTAGTTGGGGAGCTAACCCGTAAGAAGTCTATCCGCAAAAAGAAAAACACCCCAGGCAAATTGGTTATAATAATCTGTTTGGGATATATATTCAAAATGGGCCTTTAGTAGGATAACCCCTTAGGTCATGGTTACATTTAAAAATATCATTAGGTCACCAGGTCACTTGTATGCTCACTACACAGATCTTGGTTTTGAACATTTGAAAGGTCACAGGTCCTTTTACATGAGATGTCAGGTCCCAGGCTCAAGCCAACCTAATCTTGGTTACAGGTTGGATTTGACCATGTTGAAGCCACCCAAATGAGGTTAAATTTACTGTGCAAAATAAAAATATTTTGGAGGTATGGGGAAGTATTACAAAACTACTTGCAAATAAAGACAGCAGCTTTTCTGGTTACCTTATTGTTTCTAAGGTTTTCAATGGGATCATTCTGGCAACTTCTTTGATTTTTGGAAAAGTCACTTACCAAAAGTGATTAATGAAAACAAACGTATTTTCTTCAAAATAAAAATTAATAAATACTTATAACCTATGGGATATTTACAGAGATAAATCCCCAATGATGAGCAGCATTCACTCTAAAATGTACCCAACTTTGACACAAGTGTAATTTTTCAGTGAATCAACACATGCTGATGTGTTTACTATACCTTTCACAAAGAGAAAGAAACAGAAATCTGAAGGAACCAATTCATGGAAGCATTTTTTTAATTGCAATAAGTTTTAAGATTAGAGTCATGCATGTGTAAATATTTTGGTAGAATTTTGATTTATTTTATTATTTTTCTACAATTTCTAATGTAAAGTAATGTTTTATTTTTTAGTACCATGGTGGACATCCAGTCGACTTGGTCTGGCTATTCTAGGCTTCTTTGGATTTATCAATGTTTATGCCTTACGTGTGAATATGAGTGTTGCCATTGTCTGTATGGTAAACAGAACAGCCATACAGACAAACTCACCAGACCAAAATGGAAATGTAACAAAGATTGAGGTTGGATGTGGCTCTGGTCTAAATACTACAGGTACCAGTAACTTTGAGGTAAGTACACATATCTATTGAACATTTTTTTTATTAGTTTTTCCTGACTTTTTTTTACATAAATTTTCATCCTGCCTTTTTTTTTGGTAAAGTTGCTCATCCTGCCTTTTTTTTTACTCAAAACTCCTGTCCTGCCTCTTTTTTCAAATTTCATCCTTGTCCCCCATAAAAATCAAATGGTAGCTCCCTAATTTATTAAAAGTTTCTTTCCATTTCAGGATGGTGAATTTATATGGGGTAAAACAGTACAAGGATTAATTCTTGGTGCTTTCTTCTGGGGATACCTTGCTACACAGATACCTGGTGGATGGCTGGCCACAAAATTTGGTGGCAAACGAGTTTTTGGGTGGAGTATGTGTATGGCCACAATAGCTACATTATTCACTCCATTAGCAGCAAACGTTGATCCTACCGGTACATTTCTGATTGTACTTAGAATTCTTGTTGGGTTTTCTTCAGTAAGTATCAATGTTATACAAGTTTAAAAGAGATGTAGTAACTGTTGTAAATTTCAAGAAATGTATGATTTGTTTACTACAAGAAAATATTTGACTGTTTCAAGGTTTCATTGTTACTCTATGCACACAAATAAGTTTTACACTTATAAGATCACTGTATCAAGTGTTATTACAGTCTGTTTGAAAACTTCTCTTCTGAATCTGCTTAATGGATTGAAACCAAAGTTTGTCTGCTTGATTTATAGGATGTCAACTATAAAGTTTGTGATTTTAGTCCAGATTGGTCAACCAAAATGGCTGCAGTATCTAAAAATAGAACATAGGGGTCAAACTACAGTTTTGGTTAGTTTCTTTAAAACCTTAGCAATTAGAGAAAAACTCAAAATTGTCAGCAGAACAAATTCTAGCTACCCTGAAAGTTTTGGAAAAATCTGTCCCCATGTTTCACATTTATTATCACTGAAATGTTAATTTTTTTACCTTTCAACACTGAAACGTGGAGAAAAATCTGTCAACCTGTTTTTGAGTTATTCCCCCCCTGAAATATACATTTCTTCCAATTTTTTGCATTTTTTTATCTAAAAAGCTAGGTTAAAAGTGCAAATTGCAAAAATGATCAGCATGATAAGATTTATCTACATTTTTGTACTCTGAAAATTAAAACACTTTAGGAGATAGGTTAAACATGTTAATTGTATAAATAACCAGCAACAGATTGAGTTACTATAGTATGTGCATATACAAGTCCTGATTTTCAAACTGGTGATTTTTTTCTCAAGGTGAGCGATACATGCAATGGTGTTCTTCTTATTTGCAATAAGGTTGGCAAAATAAAAATCATATCAATAAATTTTCATCTATAAAGGATGATATAAATTTATGTCTGCTTATTTGCAATAAAATGACAATTAGACAATTAGAATAGCCTGTTCTCTAATGTCTAGACTTTCCAATATTGTATTAGATGATTAAAAAATATGACTGTAAAATGAAATCTGTCTTTTTGCAGTGTTTTATTAATTATACTATATGTTAATGAATGTATTTTAGGGTGCAGTTTTTCCAGCGATGCATGCTTTGTGGGGTAACTGGGCACCACCAATGGAGAGAAGTAAACTTACAGCTTTTTCTTATGCAGGTATAACGTAATAAAATCTTCCTCTTCATTGGATATTAAAGTTCTAGGTATAGTATTTATTTCTCTTGAGTAGATTTTCCCTAAATCTTATATATGTATCAATTAAACAATAGAACATGTGTATTTTTCAACTCTACCATGTCTACCTGTACACAATTGTAGCATGAACCACACAAAACACAAACTTTATAACTTATTCAAACTGCGCAATCCTGAAAATATCATCACATGATTTTGTTAAAATATTCAATTGACAGAAAAAAATAGTTTATTTCAGATTCTATTAATTAAAAATAAAAGATGGTCATAGTCAACAATATTCAGCCAATCAAATCTGGCCTCAAACAAGGTGAAATTGTTTTTTTTCACAAATTTACAAACAGGCAATCTAAAAAAATCTTCTGTTGTACTTAAAGCTCCAAAGATCTAGAAATATATTTTTCTTGATTGCAAGTAATTCTTTAATTGTTTTTAATCCCCTACCAACGAAGTCGAATGGGGGCTTTAGGTTTGCACTCCGTCCGTCTGTCTGTCTGTCTGTCTGTCTGTCTGTCTGTCCGGCAAATCAGTTTTCCACACTTTTTTTCTTCATGCTTGACGATATTGATTAGAAAATTGGTATATAGTTTTATCATGACAAGTTACAGATCAAGTTTGAATTTTGTTCCAGTCTGATGATTTTGTGCAGAGTTATGGTCCTTGGACTTAGAAAATTCACTCAAATTATCAGTTTTCCGCACTTTTTTTCGTCATGCTTGAAGATATTGATTTGAAAATTGGTATATAGTTTTATCATGGCAAGTTACAGATCAAGTTCAAATTTTGTTTTGGTCTGATGATTTTGTGCAGAGTTATGGTGAAAATTCACTTAAATAATCAGTTTTCAACACTTTTTTTCGTCATGCTTGAAGATATTGACTTGATATTTGTTATATAGTTTACACCATGACAAGTTATAGATCAAGTTAGAATTTAGTTCCAATACAATGAATTTTTAACTGGTAGGGGACTTTGTATTGCTATGCAATACTCAAAGAATGCTTGTTTTTTAATATGTCTGTAGTGGCAAAAAGAGAGATGTCTTTTTTCTGTGTCATTTAGTTAGAAGTATCGAAAAAAAAAAAAAATATATATATACATTATGAATTGTTTTACTGGTGTGTCTGAAAATTATTATATTACAGGAGCACAAGTTGGTAATGTGATAACCTTTCCATTAGCGGCTGTTTTATGTAAATATGGATTTGCAGGAGGCTGGCCATCCATCTTTTATGTATTGGGTGAGTTTAATTCTAAGTGACCTGTCACTTTGGTTTTACCTAACAGAAGACATACAAGTTTATTTTTGTATTGTTACTAATGCAAAATATCATACATAGATTGTTTTCTAAATAATAATTGTACATAAACTGTTGAAGGCAAATTCATCGTCGGAAAACCCTTGATATAAAGCTTTAATACTGTTTAACAGAGGTGACGTTAATGTAACTTACTGTGGATTATATTATTTTCATGGCTACCAATTTTCGTGGTTTGAGAAAACAATGTATTTTCGTGGATATTTGATTTCATTGTCTTACTAAAACTCTGTATATCAACCTAAAGAAAATTTGTTCTTTGTTGAATATTTAAATTCTTGGTTCACCTTTTTCAACAAAATTCACGAAAATTGGTAACCCATGAATAATAATGTATCCACAGTATTGTAATTTCATTCACATCTATTTTCATATACAGAAAAAAACATGTTCTGAATTTTTTTTACCACTTCAATGGCTGCAGTACAATGTAGTATTACATTTATCAATCTAGAAAAAAATGAGGTTGCTCAGACTTAAATACTTGCAAACACAAAGTAACTAATGGGTGGAAAATCTGTAAGAAGTAATAAGAATTCTCAGTTGGTTACCTATGTTCCTGGTTTGAAAAATATTTGTATGTAATTTCAGGGACAGCCAATTTTGTGTGGTTTGTGCTATGGATGGTTTTAGTCAGTGATAATCCAATGGACCATAAAAGAATTTCTGATATTGAGCGTGAATATATTGTTATGTCCTTAGCAGAAAATCGTCATGCTGAAACAGGCAAGGTTAGATATTGCAAAAATCATAAGCATTTCCTGTACTTAAAGCAATAAGTAAAAGATAATAGACTACACCATAGTAAAAAAAAGCAGCAAAGAAAAACCCACCAAAACCGAGGATAAACGAAAGTGCTAGCTATGAAGGGCAATCAGTTCTAGCTCCAATAGTGCTGTCACATATCTTGCAAGTTGCAAGTAAAAAAAGTAATAAGTCGCATCCAGGGATGTAACAATTCAAGGAAAAGAGGACAGGATTGTGGTTACAACAAGTGGAGCAGTTCCCTGGTCATCTGTGACACAGATTTTTCATAATGGTCAACAAAATCATAATGGCATCTGCAAACCTTCGAAGGAATGAATTTAACTATGCTATTTGGATATCTTTCTAGAAAACGCAAACCCCCCAAAAAAAATAATAAGACTATGAATGTTTGTGCAGTGTATGTTGTGATTTCAATCCTTAAAAGTACAGCTGTAACATCTTCAGTTCACCAATATATAAAAAGTCATTTGATGCAATGCTTCCTTGCGGAGGAGAGGTAATAAAAATCGATCTTAAACTGGTACAAATCAATTTAATCCTAAGCTCACCAAGCTTCAAGGACCATGTCTGAGTAATGACCATCACATTGCATCATTCTCCATCCCTCCTTGTAAGTTCCATCCCTCCTTGTAAGATTTTAAAAAATTGTTCTCTTTCTGTGAAAAAAAAAGCCAATCTACCACATATAGAACAAACTGCAAAAATGTTATTTTATGCTGACCTTTCAATATATACATTGTCCTGGATCTTGATATCTTTATCTTTAACGGGAAGCTTAATACCAAAATTTATGACAAAAGAGATGATTTTTCATTTCCGATTGTTAATTATCCATTTTTAGATGGTGACATTCCCTTGTCACCATCTTATGGTGTTTATATATCTCAACTTGTTCGATTCGCTCGTGTATGTAACAACGTATTTGATTTTAACTAAAGAAATCTCTGTATTACTGAGAAATTATTACACCAGGGTTTTCGATATCACAAACTAGTCAAAACATTTACTAAATTGTATCATCAGTACAAGGACATCATTCGTAAATATAAATTAACATGCAGACATCTTATACGTTCAGGTATTTCACATCCAATCTTTTATGGTAATATTCTGTACAATGCACAAAAATGTTGGCATTCACCTCAAAAGCTAACCAAACCTTTAAAAAGACTTATTTGGAAGGGATATAGTTACGATACTGTTGTCAAGTCATTAAGGATTGCATATTTTGGTATTAATATTGATTCACTCGTAGGGTCTTTTCATCGGAAATAAAACACATTTATTCTAAAACCAGTTGTTGGCATGATACGTGTTATGTTCGTCTCATATATTTTATGATGGTATGATACTAAACCCCTAACGGTAGGGATTGTACTTGATTTTCATATGATGAAGACATAATCTTTCAATCAGTTTAATTGAGGTCTGGAGCTGGCATGTCAGTAACTGCTAGTAGTCCTTTGTTAATTTATGTATCATTGTCATTTTGCTTAGTTTCTTTTGTTACCTATTCTGACATCAGACTCAGACTTCTTTTTAACTGAGTTTTACTGTGCGTATCACTGTGTGTTTTTTTATTCTACATTGGCTAGAGGTATAGGGGAGGGTTGAGATCTCACAAAACATGTTTAACCCCGCCGCATTTTTGCACTTGTCCCAAGTCAGGAGCCTCTGGCCTTTGTTAGTCTTGTATGTTTTTTAATTTTAGTTCATTTATATGTTTTGGAGTTTAGTATGACGTCCATTTTCACTGAACTAGTACACATTTTTATTTAGGGGCCAGCTGAGGACCACCTCCGGGTGCGGGATTTTCTCACTGTGTTGAAGACCCATTGGTGGCCTTCGGCTGTTGCCTGCTCTTTGGCGGGATTGTTGTCTCTTTGACATATTCCCCATTTCCATTCTCAATTTTATATATATGATGTAGGAATGAAGGAGAATACATTCCAATTAAAGTCTGTAAGACTACAAGGACAATCTATATTTATATTCACTTACCAAAGTTTCCCATCTTGATTTGGTTAAGGTTGGTCAAAAACATGGCTGCCTTTCACAGTTCCTGACTTTTATAGGAGAGATGATTTTGAAAATATTTCATTAAGATTCTTCATATTTGTCATACCAAGATGTTTTAGATGATATGCAGGGTAAGTCCCTAGGGGTCATCCCCACCTACTGTCATTTGAATATGTTCAAATATCTTGTAAGTGGTTAAGATACCCACCCCTAAACCCTATACTATCTACAAAATGAATTGAATGAATAATAAGGGGGAGTTCTTAAGGGTTTATAATTCAATATGGGAAATTAGTTTGGGAGACTTCTTAACAGCATCCTGTTACAATCATTTCTTGTTGTAAGATATTTTTATAGTTTTAATTTGGTAGTTTATATTTTGATGTTTTAATTGACTTTTTTTTTCTAATCACTGAGGTACTGACATTTAATAAAATCTGGAAATGTTTTTTAGGAACTAGATGTACCATGGAAGAGTATACTGACCTCACTTCCAGTTCTTGCAATTGTTGTATCCAATATAACATCAGACTGGGGAGCCTACACATTGCTAACAAATATACCAACATACATGAGTGAAGTCTTAAAACTAGATATAACCTCAGTAAGTTAACTCCGTTTTAACTCACATGAGCAAGGTCTTATAAGCATACGTGCATGAATTTTTATGATAAGATATTATGTCTATAAGTTTATACCATTATCAATTTATATGTTTGAAGTTTTGAAACTGAAAATTATTTCTTTTAGCCTTCACAATATTAACCAATATGAATGAAGTCTTATAGATAGACATTACTTCTGTAAGTTAGCACAATATCAGCTTACATTAGTGTAGGTCATATAGCTGGATATTACATCTGTAAATCAACAAATAACTGACCAATATACTAATCTACATAAGTGAAGTCTTTAAAAAGGCCAAATATTTTACAAAGTAAAAAACAAAGCCTTATAAGCAAAATCAAGAGTAAAAATTCATCAAAATCTCCAAAGATAAAAAAAAAAAATTCTTTGTTTTAACCAGCATACAAAATAAAAAAAACAAATTGAAAACATAAACATGTATAGTTAATCACATGATCTGTGACAGGTTCTGTACATATAGTATATATGGTAAACAATAGTCTCTGTCTGTTGTGGTTCAGATTAAAAACCATAAAGACAATAAATAGACAAAAACAACTACAATAATGTATTGGAATGTGTGTCAGTGGCTGAAGGAGTTCATGGCCTCTTATTATAAATGGACTCACTGTGAATCAGCTACAGTGTTTAAGAAATAATATTGTACAATATTCTCTTGGTGGACACTGTGTGCTGTGCTATGTCTTTTTTTTTTACAATTTAAAGTGGTGTCACATGTTAAAAATATTTTTTAATCTAGAATGGACTTTACTCAGCTTTACCATATGTAGCCTTCTGGGCCATGATTAACATTGCTGGATGGATGGCAGATTTCTTCAGGGAAAGACGTTTAATGAATACAACCATGACCAGAAAAATATTTGATTCTTTCGGTAAGTTTATCAAACATAAAAATAACGATATTTGGTGTAGCTTTCATTGAAAGAACACACCTAAAAAATACTAGACAAAAATGAAAAAATCTTATAATGTTGCCATATTACTGTCAATATTGTGTACTAGCTGATAGTATACAAATAATGATAATTTTGAAAGAAAGAGAACATGAGAGAATGCTTAGTTTTATATGGATTAGCTACAAATGTTGATGCATATATATATTTTGTTTGTTACATTCAGTTTGCTAAAAACCAACTTTTATAAATGAACTATATCAATGACCCCAAAAAATATCTAGAAATGAATTGCTGTGCCTTCAGGGGCAGATCAAGAACATCTATGACTGGGAGGAACCATGAAACAAACATTTAAAAGTTGTATATATATATGGGACTGGGTAGGTACATTTCTTTTGTTGTGTTATGTTGCCAACACAATGCTTGTTGCACAAATAACTTGCTATGCAATAGTTCCAAAATTGTCAGTATTTCCATACAGGACATGTTTATATTTCAGGTAAAATTGTACCAGCACTTATGCTGATTTGTTTAGGATATGTAGACTGTACCACTCCCACTCTTGCAATAGTCTTGCTGATCCTTGCTGTCAGTCTGACAGGGTTCCAGTACAGTGGCTTCCTTATCAATCATGTGGATATAGCTCCACCATATGCTGGTATATTGTTTGGCATCACTAATTCTATAGCTTCAGTAACAGGATTTATATCTCCATCGGTAGTAGGAGCTATCACTAATGAGGTGAGGAATAGATATATAGATGTATTAATTAATCAAGTTGAGAACTTTAACTCATCCAAATTAAAAAAAAAATGTATGATGTACATGAAATTCTACAGAAAGTGAATTTGCCATTCATTTGTTTGATTGATGTGTATGGTTATTTGAATTTATCCCTCTTTGTATCTAAGTTACACTTCAAATTTTATTGCAAATTATTAATTTATCTCTGTTTATATGATTCAACAAATATTTGCATTCAGTTGAATTTGTATTGCCTTATTTGCTTTCTAAGTATCAGAAAGTTGATTTTATTTTAAAGAAAAAAGTCTCTTTTACCAGTTATTAGTTACACACTGATTCATTGGTGGATTGCTACTGAATAGGTTATTGGTAGTCCAATGTCCTGTTTCATGTTAATTCTTCTTATTATATTTAATTCTAGGCACAGACAAGAGATGAATGGCAGAAAGTGTTTTACATAGCTGCAGCTATTTATGCATTTGGAGCTGTGTTTTACTTAATATTTGGTAGTGGGGAGCTACAAGATTGGGCTAGAGAAAAAAGGGACCTGGAATTAAATGTGGAAATGGAACCATTGAAAATTGACGAAGAAAAACCACCAGTGGATAATAATATTAATATTTGAAAAACTTAATGTTTAAACCATGAAGAAAAACTTGATGTTTAAAAATATGAAGAAAAACTTAATGTTTAAATCATGAAGAAAAACTTAATTTTTAAATCATGAAGAAAAACTTAATCATGAAATAAGTAGGAACTACATTTAAATGCTAGATCTAGGAAGTAGTATTAAATGCTAGATCTAGGAAGTAGTAATAAATGCTAGATCATCTTTATGTTTTAAGGTAAAAGGGTAAAGTTCCTAGAGGGAAATTTGTGTATTCCCAAACACAGCCAGTTGCTCAAAAGATCAATTAAATGTAGGAAGCTAAAACTGCATAACTACTGCATGAGTTTTGCATTTGACATTTTAATGAATTGTTGGTAGTACTGTTATGTTTTGACATGATATTCTAAACAGATGTTTAATTTTATTTTGGTGTACAGTGATCTTGTATATGCAGACAATGCAATTTAGTTTACATGCTATGCAAAAAATTGGGCTTAAAAAATAAGATGTATATATCAAAAGAAAAAATTTAAAACGTAAGTCTTGTATAGAAAATTTTTGAAAAATCATATCAGTCCAAATGAGTAGTATGTGAAAAATATTTAAACTCACTCAGGAGGAACTACTTAGTCATGTCTCATTTATTATGAAATTGTTTTAACTTTGTTATACATGTACTGTACAGTACATGGCCAAAAGTATTTGTCACTTGTGATTTTTCACTATATATTTCATATAAAACTAAAACTAAGTTTTTATGCCCCATTTTTATGCCCCATTTATGGGCATTATGTTTTTCGGTCTGTGGGTCCGTTCTTCTGTCCGATAGTGCGAGTGGGGCATCCATGTACTATGGACACATTCTTGTTTTAAATATATGTGGTAACATTTCTGGTAGGAATTTAATCAACTTATTACCAATAGAAGCAGAATTGTCACAGGCTTATTTGTTCATTTGATTATATTTTTGTTGTGGAGTGTCTTCAATTTTTGATGATACAAACACAAGTATTATTTTATGTTCATACATTTGTTATATATTTCAACCAAATTAAATTGTAAAAAAAAATTGTACATGTTCATTTTAAGAGAAAACAAAAATAATTGATGATAAAACTATGACCAAGTAAACAAATATACTTTAGACAATTCTGCGTCTTTTAACAGCTTGTTTTTAAAAATCCAACAAAAAATGTCTTCAAAGTAATTTTCTTAAAACATGTGTTTTTATATGAAATATGTAGCGAAAAAAGAAAAACGACGAATACCATTGGCCATGCACAGTATGCTTCTTATTGACTTGTTTTATTTGAGAATTGGTACCAGTATTATTTTATTTTAATGACAGTATATTTTTTTGTTCAAAACTCCTTTCTTATTATGTAACTAAATTCTTTTGCCACACCCAGATCATTAAAACTTGGCAATTTTGATACTTTATATTATCTGGGCATTTATTTTTGAGAGATATTCTGAAAGTTAAATTTTCTTCCTATTTTTGTTTATTAATTACAAGAGGACAGGGATAATCTTGAGTTGTATTAACCACCAAAAGTTGGATAAAATATAAAAAAAGCTACATAAGTGATATTAAAATATTTTAAGGGGTGAAAGTGACCCTTTGGCGGTTTGGAAAATTACCCATAAGTATGTATGTTTCAAAAATAAAACCTTCAGGAAAATATATGCATATTTAAAAAAGTTTATAGAAAGCATTTAACAAAATGTATTTATTTATTTGTGCAATTTTATAATAGTGCCATATGTATTTTAACTTATTTTTGTATAAAACTGCCATGTATCTCAAGATTAATTTATAACAGTACAGTTATAATTTATAAACATTTTATCATCACTGCCAAATCATGCTATTTTTTGACATTTTTTTTCCATAGAAGTAGCAATGCTTCATCATTTGTATTTATGTTTAAAAGTTAAACAGAGTATGTTTAATAGTTAAACAGAGTAACAATTAATAATTTGATTTGAATTTGTCTTCTTTTAGCAGGTTACTTTATTTTGGGTTTTTACGCCCTTTTTACTATAAATGAATTTTATTAACATTTGTGTTTTCGTTGTTTTAAAGTAAAAAAACTGTCAGCTCTAAAAAGGTCACACCTGACTTTTGCAGGTTGATAGTAATATAATTGGGCACTTGTTTGGAGGAAAGGTATTTATGGTCAATGTTTATAAGTTGAAATATTAATTATACATGGAACATTTACAGTTTTCACTATGTTGATATGTCCATCCATCCTACATTTCCTCAGACTATTCAACAGGAAGTGAAGTTAAATGCTTCCTGTTTTAAAGTTTGTTCATATTGATTTTCAAGGTTTTCCATAGCCTAATAGGACAATAAAAATCATGTCAGTTCATAGTTCAAAGTGGTTCAACGCTCCCAAATCAGTGCGTAAGCTGGATATAAGGCTCAATTATTTGTTATTGTCAGCCAAGTAAGCACTTCAGCTTCCTTGGACCCTATAGTAACATAAAATATTAGGATTGAAAGAAGCTGTTTTTTTATAATGACCTTTTTCATTATTTCTCTTTCAAGAATTACTTAATGTCATTTATAAAGGGTAAACAAAAGCAAATCACCTGACCATCAATCATCACAGAGTAGATCACACATTATTAAACCAACTCTCATATAAAATGTATATGGTGAAATTTTGGAAAAGCTTCCATTTTATGATGACAATTTTCACAATTGTCATTCCCAAGTTAAACAATTTGATAATTAGTATTGTTACAGGTACAGTTGTTCAAATTAGATGGGTTTTATTTGATTTAGCAAATCATTATTTTGCAACAGTTCATCATCATTGCTGTTACACATTTTTAAAGTTGTTATTTTTGGAAAGACTTCCCTTTTTTACCCTAGTTTGTTCACATTGTTTACAAAAGTTTACTTCAGTTAGCATTATTTATCTGATTACAGGTATGTCTTGAAGATTTATATTTATTGTTGTTATATTATGTTATATGTTATATTATTATCATGGTAGATCTGAAAATACTGATAAACCTGAATTGTTCGGCTTTTGTTTTATTATTAATATTGACATTTTATTATATAACCATTTATTTATCTTTATTCCAATATATTACAAGTCCAATGATTAATTTGTTCAACCTTTTGAATGAGCTACTTTTGTTGAGAAATAGCCAATTCTTGTCATATCATCACATAATACAAATTTTCTTGCCTGTTTATTTCGAACTTTAGAAAAAGTTATATTGAAAAAAAAACTTTGTAACTCATCTATGATATAAGATGTCATTTTACCCAATTGTGATCAAACAATTGCTTAAGGGCAAAGCACATACAATATTGGCAATGATCATGAATCAGAATCAAATTTATATTACTTATACTAGTTTTGTGCCACTGCTAATTGATAGTCAGCTCTGTAAGTAATTTTTACCAAGGAGCCAGTGCATCCACTTTCACATGATTTTAATTATACATTTAAAAAAATAATCTCCATTTATGGGGTTATGTATTAATAATGAAGGCCACATATTCTTTTTAAGTATATGACATGTAAACAGATAGATCATTAGAGTACTTCTATTTTTATGCCCTTTCAATAGAAGGGGAGCATACTGTTTTCTGGGATTAGGTTAATATTTTGGTTTACGGTAGTTTACTATTAAATTGTGCTCAACGTAACTTAAATTAGTATACATTTTTCATTTTGATGTGAACTTTTTAAAATGTATACAAAATTCAATTTTGCCACTCACTGACCATAGAAATGTGATAGTTTAAGCAGAGTTCATGCAGTGTCCAATGGACACATATTCTTGTTAAGCATATTTTCTGTACATTTTTGTCGAGCCTTCAACTTTTGTCGAAAAAGCGAGACATAGCGATCCTACATTCCGTCGGCGTCGTTGTCGTCGGCGGCAGCCACAAATATTCACTTTGTGGTTAAAGTTTTTGAAACTTTAATAACTTTCTTAAACTGTCCTGGATTTCTACCAAACTTGGAAAGCAGCTTGTTTATGATCATAAGATAGTATCCAGAAGTAAATTTTGTAAAAAAAAAATTCCATTTTTTCCATATTATACTTATAAATGGACTTAGTTTTTCTGCCAGTTAACATAACATTCACTCTGTGGTTAAAGTTTTTAAAATTTTAACAACTTTCTTAAACTATCCTGGATTTGTACCAAACTTGGACAGCAGCTTGTTTATGATTAAAAGCTAGTATCTAGAAGGAAATTTTGTTAAAATTTTGTTCCATTTTTTCCGTATTTTACTTATAATTGGACTTAGTTTTTCTTCCAGTTAACATTACATACAGTCTGCAGTTTAAGTTTTTAAAACATTTATTAGATTCATAAACTATCCTGGATTTTTACCAAACTTGGACAGAAGCTACTTGCAATCAAAAGATAGTATAGAGAGGAATATTTTTATTAATTTTTTTCCTCATTTTTCTTGAGCCTGCGATTAACAGCAAAAGTAGGCGAGACACTGGGTTCCGCGGAACCCTTACGAATTTTTTATTTGATAATCACAAAACTTTGTTTTATCTTTCTTTGATTGTTTTTTTTCTTAGTTTGTTTTTTATAGTATTTTCGTTTTAATGCCTTGCTTGCTATTTTGGGCTGCAGGAATGCTGTTTACATATCCCGGTAGTTTTATAGATACATACTTAGTTGTGGCATCTGTAAACTTATACATACTCATTAATGCCAACTGTAAATATGTTTTTCTTAAATGTTCTAAGTAAAGGTTTACATTCAAGTCTTGTTCCTCTTCGTTTAAAGAAGTATTAGGAAAGATTGTAAATCTTATCTAACAAAAATGGTTTTAGCTGTCTCTGTTATGTTTTTTTTTTATGAAATTAACATTGTAAATACTCATTATAATCTGCATAAAATTATACAAAGTTTTTATAGAAAGTGGACATGGATTACTAGTATTTTTATGAGTTCATATATTCATGAATTTTGTTATCCAAGTTATTTTATTACCAAAGAATGGAAAAAACCATGAATTCAAAATTCTGCAAGCCATGACTTTAATGAGAGAAAAAATTAAGACATAGTAGTTTTACAATTAGAAAATATTAGTTGATGATTTGGCCTTTTATGTTTGCATGGGTTTTGTGAAATCTATACTTTCTATGGACCCACTAATCTTGTTCCATGCAGAAGAGTTGTGGACCTTTTTAATAATAAGTGTATTCACAATAAGGTATCTACAAATAATGCTGAAATTTTCATAGCAGGTGAAAAAAGAAAAAGATTTATAGAACTCAGATAAACTGCATGCTTTGACGAAATTTGCACTTATATATAAAGATATATTTATGTCTACTTAGTTATGTTGTTATTTATATTTTCATTTATTATGATATATGCAAATATAAACATATATATATGAATACTACAATGTAGATTGCATGTTTCCATAATATGCAACTGATGAATCATGTTGGTTTGTTGTATTCATACCAGAAATCCTTAACACGTGAAATTAACTAAACTGTAACAAAAGCCAAAAGATTCATTTTAAACATTGAAATTTGTTTTGCTTTTCCCCCAGAACTTTTTCCATGATGTCCATTAAAACATGTGATAATTTATGGATATGCACGACTCAACATGCCCCCTATTTTGCATGTTAATTTAATTATGATGTGCTCAAGAAAAATAACCTTTTTATTGTTAATTAACGTATCACTGACACAGCTTAGCTTTCTTACTTGTTTCCAAAGTGTATAAAAGATAAAAAAAATAATATTAAATCGAAGTGTTGAAAGTATTACAATCTAAATGTTCAGATGAACAGCTAGTATTTCTAAATTTCCTTCATTACATTATGGTGTTGGACAACAAATGATATGTTACCAGATATAGTTGAATTCATTATCATGTACTGTAAAGTTTTTTTGTTTATGTTTTGTTCAATGTTTTCTTGATATAGTGTTTTATAAAACTAATATGTTCTCTCTGAAATTTGTATACATTGACAAATATCCATTTAACATTTACATATATTTTTTATCAGTTTAATTTGAAGTTGTTTACAATCTTCATAATTTTATAAATGATATTTTATTTATTTTGACTTTTAAGAATATTTTTAACCAACATCATGTTACTCTTTACCATCCAATTTCTACAGCTTCTATTGGCTTAGGTTACTTTTAATGAGCAAATGTGATGTTTTGCATAATATTGATCTTTTATTCACGGGAGTGAGCAGTTTTTAATGTCTGTGAAAAAGTCTGAATTGTCAATTTGTTAAGATTAAAATAAAAGTTACGATTTTGGAATAATATAGAACAATTTTCACCATAGTAATCAATCTAGATAGAAATATATATATATATATAATGCTAATTTTTACATTATTAGAAGTACATTAGATAAGTCAACCTAATAGTACGTTTTCAAGATAATAAAAATGTTTGATTAGTATGCAAAACAACATAGTATAAAAAATATTTTATTTATTAGTTGAATATAAATAATCTAAGCATTTCAATAAAGTATTACAGACTGAATGTTACAATACACATGATGATGATTTTGCATCTGACAGGACGTGCAAATCAATTTGATTTTGATCCTGTATTTACGCTTTGCTTCCAAGGACCTTTAAACTCCCAATTTTACTTTCTGTTTAAAAGATCTTTTGAGATCTTCTGGTTTTGTCGTAATGATACATGCCTTCAAAACTTTGGAGACAGACATGTCATTGGCTGATGTAATTATTACAAGACCAGAAAGTAGTACAGATTGTTAGATCCTTGTAACAGACATGTCATTCACTGATGTAATAATTACAAGACCAGAAAGTAGTACAGATTGTTGTTAGATCCTTTTAACAGACATGTCATTCACTGATATAATAATTACAAGACCAGAAAGTAGTACAGATTGTTGTTAGATCCTTGTAACAGACATGTCATTCACTGATGTAATAATTACAAGACCAGAAAGTAGTACAGATTGTTGTTAGATCCTTGTAACAGACATGTCATTCATTGGTGTAATAATTACAAGACTAGAAAGTAGTACAGATTGTTGTTAGATCCCTGTAAACAACCCATTGACAGAGGATCTGTATTTTAATCAGACTGCATTTAAATTGTTTCTGATAATAAAACTTACATAAAAGAATCCACAAGAAATTTATTTTTATATAGATCATACATGTCACAATTTCATTTAGTTCAGGATTTGGTGCTGAATAAATATTGACAACACATTTTTTGTTTTATATTTTTAAAGAGTTACTGAGAGTGTTGACTTAAATACCTTGTTTTAAAATCTTATAGGACTTTTAGTTACTGTAAACGTAGTATTTTTTTGCAGGGTTATTATCTCTTATTTCGTGTTCACATCAATTATACATGAAAATATCCACTGCACGAATTATTTTAAAAAGAAAAAATATTAATATGAAATTTATCAACTGTTATAATACAAGTTTCACATGATGCAAGATTTATACAACTTTCAGAAGGTCGGCCATGTTAATTGTAACACTGTTAAGAAAGTTTCCTCAATTTTTTCTGAAATCTGAAAGGTTTAAATTAAAGTTGTTGATGTCATAGGAAGCCTTCTGTGGCAATGTCAAGGCAAAGAAACTCATCATAGAGACCTGGATTAAAATTATGTTGACCAGACATCTGTTTCGTCTACAAAACACTCATCATTGTGAACTGCTAGTTGGACTCAAATAAGTTTAAAAAAGCCAAATAAAGTACAAACTTGAAGGGCATTGAGGATTCAAAATTCCAAAAGATTTTGCCAAATACAGCTAAGGTAAACTATTCCTGGTGTAGAAAATCCTTAGTATTCGGATTAGTTCAGAGTTTTGTAAACAGTTAATTTTAAATATTGACCATATCAATGATAATTCATGTCGACAGAGAATGCTGACTACTGGAGTGGTGATGCCCTAGGCCAGACACGCATCTTTATTTACAAAAGCCAAATCAGTGAGGCTCGACTCAAAAAAGTTAAAAAGGCAAAATACAGTACTGTGTTTGCTCGAGGACTGCTACCTTGCACGTTAAAAATCTTGCTCAGTTAGTTGGTCTATTACAAAACTGATGTCCCTTTTAGATCTTGGTATAACAATTTCTCAAACCAATATATATGATAAACAGGACATATATATCTATCCATCTTATGCAGTGTCTGGTAACCCCAGATAACCAATTTGTTCAATACGTGCATATCACGACAAAAACTCGTTCATGTGATATGATTGTGAACCCTTATTTGCACTAGACGAACACTGAGTCAAAATGTGCTAGATGTTAACAAGTCATCAATCCACAGGTAGACATGTAACCCTATCCGAACACACCATTCAGACTCGACCAACAATTATTTGCTCTTAATCCTAAATGCCGCATGATAGCGAAGAAGCAGAAAATAACAATTTCTTTGGTTTGATACACCAGGAGATCGAACCAAAGACCTCCTTCACTGTAGACAATCACGCTACCACCAATGCGATTTAATTTAAAAAGAAATTAAAAGAGCCAAAATGGTTTGTCAAAGAATGATGGACACCATCAAGGCCAAAAAAAACCTCTTTATATTTTACACAAAACATAATACAGAAAACCAAAGACTGAGCACCAGAACTCCCATTTACTACGCGGGTAAACAGTAGCTCCATTTTAAACAATAGTTTTGATACCAGGGTCTGTGGTATTGATGGTGACGGACGTCTTTTTATATTGTGCTCCAATTTGAAGAATTACTTGTGGTGATGGCGTTTATTTGTTACAAGAACATATGAATAACATTGCATAATAACACTGGCGTGAGCAATTTTACCTTCTAAAAAACGTATCTCTCCGACTTTTAGAAAGATTTACTTTTTACATGTGACCCGCCAAAAATAAAAAGTGAGAAAACATGGCGGCCCTTGGCTGAGAAAGAAGTTTTTGCAGTCCACACACTACTCCAAGATTTTACTTAATAATTTATCTTAATGTAAATATAATACTTGTCATTTTAATAGAAAAGTATTAAATCAAGAAACTTTTACTGCAAAGAAATCCAAAAGCTTCGAAATTGTGATCCTGTATCAGTGGGTGGCCCTAGCTACATTAGCACTTTTAGCACATAGATAGTTCTAGGATATTTCCGTCAAGAAACATTTTATTACTTGCATATAGCATATAGATAGTTCTTAGATATTTCCGTCAAGAAACATTTTATTACTTGCATATAGCCGTAATTTAGTTTTATAGACACCAAATATACTTTTATCTGTGTGTGTTTGTGCTTACGCTTGACTTTACCTTAAACCTAACTTACTATCTGCACCTGAGCTTTCCATATATACTGTTATACCTGTGTAATCAATTACTAATGAGGGATAAAAAGCTTCTTAAATATTTGAGAAAAAGTTTTGAGCCACCAAACGGAGTACAAATAATCACCCCAGTAGTTCTCACAGATAGTACGGGGAAATATTTACAAGCACAGTGTAGCTTACCTGTCGAAAGCAGTATCAGATGGTGGGACAAAACTGGCCTTAACTCAAAACAAGGTCTGAAGTGGTTACGTGATAATTTAGAAACAGAAATAGCACTAATAGGCAACATTTCACTTTACACATGGGTTGGCACATGCGATCTCACTGAATACAACCATCCTTATATAAAACTGAGACAAGATCCCGAAGAAATTGTTTAATCTGTGATAAATAATTTCCAGAAAATTGCTCAAATTCTAAAGAATCACCCAGCTTGTAAATTAACTTTTTTTGAAATATCACCCTACTCAATATATGATTGGAACTCTTGTCACTCACAACCCGACGTTAAACAGTTTATTGATCAGGACATCACTCTTGTCAAACATATTCTTCAGATTAATGATCATATCAGATATATAAATAACACATTAGAAACAAGAACCCCAGGATTTTCAATTGATTTATTACACCCGGTAAATACTTCAAAAAAAAAGACTCGAACCGGAAGGCAGGTTCAGTCTATATAGAGACGGGATCCACCCAGATATCAATCTAGCCCGAGTTTGGCTAAGAAAAATTGCGCATAAAGCCAAGACCGACTGTTGGTATGCTGTTGGTTAGCGGTCAGGTACCGTTGACACAGTATAGCTAGGCTAGGGTGGGACCTTCCACAGTGTCTAGTTATCTGTGTTGCAACAGTCCTACCATACAGGGTTCGTTGGTAATATAAACCTGGGTATACAACGTAACAACCAACAATAATGGATCTTGTAAGAAAATCTTTGAGAAAAACCAAAAGTGACTGTAAAATTTCATGTACAAATGAATATGAGAATAACTACACATTAAATATTGAAAAATCATTACAGAAAAAACTAGAGTCTACTTAAAGATCTGAAATTGGATATGAAAATACAAGGGGTGGTGTAACGGCTAAATTAGATGCTGTTTCCTTTGAACTCTTTATCCATGCCTGTGAAAAATTCTACGGGGAATCCAATATGCATGAATTTTCCAAAACAATTGCCACTGATAGACAGAGCAACAATGTACAATATACTTTCCACATAAAGACAAAAGATACAGACCCGTTCAATTATACCATTAATGCATATCTCACAAAATGCTCATTATTGATAAACGGGAGAAATACACAATATTTCATAAAGTTAACAATGATGTGAATCATATACATAAGATTATGTCAAACACAACAATTCAAGGAGCAAAAGTGAATGTTGAACTTTTGAACAAAAAATTAGCCTCCAAATTAGAGACAGCATTAGAGTCCATTGATAATTCAAAATCATCTTTAGAACCAACATCAGCCATATCTAACCTTCATAAAGCTGTTGAAAAATGTCACAAATGTAATAGAACTTGCAAATCTAGAGATGTACTATATGCTAATCTGGCCGTTGGGTGCATTACTCATGTGACAAACTCTCTGAAAAAGATATACAAACCATTGAAAAAGATGAACAAAACTACATCTTTAAAAATTGTTGCAACTTGTCAGTTAAATCGCCATCCAGGTGTATAGCTTTACCCAATAGCTCAGCAATTGTCAGAAATAAAAACTTACTCTCAACAGGAACTTCTACTTTAGCAAAAACTCTACTACTAGAAGAAATACAATGTAATGGATGCAATTATATTCTGGATAAAATAGAAAATAAATGTGTCAACTTCGATATGACATTTCATACTCATTGTTTAGACAAAACAACTGACCAATGTTTCTCATGTATTGGGCTTGTAGAACAAGATACTGTCATAAACACAAAAAAATTTCATCAAACTGAAGTGAAACAGACATCTTATAATCTTCATAATTTAGACATCAACAATTGTGCTCCTGCACCAAATATATCAACATTTTCAGCAGGCTCTTCCGAAAACACAGCCAATTTAGATATACATTCAAATCCTAACCATGCTAACATTCAAAATGAAACTCAAACTTCATTCGAAAGAATTACGAACTCTTAGAACAAAAATTGAAAAAGAAAGAGGAGCAATTGAAAATTAAGGAAGCAATGCTCAACGAAGATATGAAAGAAAAAACAAAGATAACGGATAGATTACATAAAGCTGAAATAAGAAACAATGAGCTTGAAAATACAATCAAAACTTCACAGACCAGAATAGAGCAAATACCTATACATTCTCCGGTAAACAACTCTAATCCAACAAATTGTCAATCTAAAAACAAAGACGAGGAAGATGAACTGATTATTGGCATGAGAAAAAGGGTCACAATTTTTGTACTTAGTAAAATTGACAAAGAATTAAACAAATTAGAATCAAACAGTGATCATTCAGAACACAATATTGAAACTAGTACACATCATCAGTTTAACTATGAAAGACTGAGCTACTCTGATAATTACTTGAATTACAATAATGGCTATTTAGGACAATATAGAGATACTCAACCTCAATATAACTATTATCAAAATTGGCACCAAGGATACAACGAAGACTCTTCGTCATACCAAAATACAGAGTTTGCCCAAAACATCTGCACAGACAATCTTATTGAAATCTAACCTACAAATATTCACACGTCTACAATAAACTCAAAACCTGTGAATACTCAACAAATAAAGTATTGTGACAATAGCCAGCTGCCAAAGTCAAATTACAACTTAGAGAAAGTGAACAGAAATTCTCAGAATAGTGAAAATTGTACAAACCAATCTCAAACTCAAAATTATGACCATTCTCTTCCTATCATGGGACAACCGCTATATTATCAC